GGCCGACCCGTGAGGCGGTGTGAAGAGCGTCTGAGTAGCAGGGGCCAGCGCTGGAGGAGGGAGACCCCTGGGGGGCATCTAGGTGGGAAGCCCTACGGAGGCCAGACGCCCCGGGGGCAAGGGGAGGGGCTCCAGCTGGACTTTAGGCTCCGGGGAGTGCTCACCCGCAGCAGCGGGAACCGAGCCCTGGACGGGGCGGCGGAGAGCTGGGGGCCGGGCTCTGGCGGCTGCTGGTGAGCGGCCCGGGCTCCAGGCCTACGACCCCGGACGACCAAGATGAGCCGATGCCCCCCCAGAAGCAGGCCGTCCCCCCCCCAGGATTCTCCTGCCCCCTCCGCATGCCTCCACGGGCCTGTCCCTGCTCCCCCCCCCTTGGACTGTGGGTCTATCTCTCCACCTGTCACTCTTCACAGCTTTCCTGGCTTCGTCTGCCTCCAACCCGGGTCTGTGTCTCCGCGCTCACCCCTCCCCACTCTTCCCAGAATAAAGCTGAGTAAAATGTCCTCCTCCCTCAGCCCCCTCCTCCGGGCCGGCCGCCCCTCTCCCGGTGTCAGATAATTGCTGGTGGGGAGCTCTGAGGAGCCAGAGCTGGTACCAGGGAAGGAGCGGGGGGGGGGGAATAAATAATAATTTGCTTCCATTCAGCGTATATAGGTTACTCGATTTGCATATATGCTAATAATGCTATAATTACCCTGCTGTTCTGGCCTATGATCAAGTTCTATAAATACACGGATAGCAGAGTTAGGCCCAGCAACGCCACCCCGAACTATAAAGTATGTGTACCCCAAATCCACGAGCCTCCCTTTGTTATAACACAGCGCTCGGAGGTCCGGGCTCCCCTGGCTCTCAGCCCCTCCTCTGCTCGGAGGAGGGAAGACCTGCCTGGATGAGGAAATCGTCTAGATCACATGTGATCTGTAGTACTGATAATGTTATAATCAGGTATGACTCGTTCGGGGAGAATCTAAGATTCCCCCCACCCCCGTTGTTGAATCAGTTATTATTACCCGGATGCCCTCACCTCCTCCGGGCCCATACTTTGGGGTGCAGGATGGGGCACAGGAAGATGGCACTTCCCTGCCCTTGGGTCTGTGGAGATGTTTAGGACAGCACTGGCTATGGGGTGCCGTTCCCCCAAGCTGCCCCCGCCCCTCGGCCTCCTAGCACCCCCCCACCCCCCGTCCCCCCCCCCCAGCACGTCAGGGGGACGGTGCTCACGGAGCCGTGCAGATGTTCGGGGGACGGCAGAGGTGGGAGGAGGGTTGGGGAACATAAAAGACTCGATCCACAGCTGTCTGCTTTTAATTATAATTATCCCCTTTCGCTTCCTTTCTGGCTAATGAGGGGGGGGATTCGATCTTTCTCTCCCTTTTCTCCCCCTCCCTCCTTTCCCTGGAATTGAGGGGTGGAGTGAGTTCAGGGTCCTCCTCCCCTCCCCCCCCCCCCCCCCCCCCCCCCCCCCCCCCCCCCCCCCCCCCGCTTACTGGGAGAAAGGCAGACCCCAGAGGGTGGGGATAGTGCGAAGAGATTTGCGGGAACAAAGGGACGACAGGTTTGGATTGCTGGACACGTCCCTGGGCTGGAGACCTCCTCCACCCCACCGGCACCCCCCCGCCGGCCCCCCAGCCCCCTAGACAAGGAACTCAATGTCTTCCAGCCGGTGAGAAAGGAGCGAAAGGGAGCCCAGGCCTAGAGGGAAGGAGGAGGGAAGGGGTGGGGAGCTGGGGGCGCAAAATTAGTCTCAAAGGATCTTTATTTCTGAGCTAGTGAAGCAGATGTAATCAAGGGGAGAGCAAAATAATCATCATGGGAGGAATGGGGGAGGGGGCTAGGGCTGGAGTGGGGGGCAGTCTGGCCTTCCCCCACCCGCCCGGTCTCCCTGCTCCGGGTGCGGAAGGAAGGCCTGACCTAAGCCCTCGGAATCCCGCCTTCAGAGCTTAGGGACGCGGGCCGGAAGGTGGCTGGGAAGGCACCGGGCAGGAGAGCGGCCCCCGCCCGCCCGGCCAGGGGAGGCGGGGGTCCGGGGGACACTGAAAGCAGTGGGGGATGGTGAGAGAGGGGAGCGGGCAGGGACTCGAGTGGCCTCCAGGTCTGTGGGACAAAAGTTGGAGGGAGATTTGTGTATGAGAGAGGAGGGGAGGGGGTCTTGGGGAAGGGGGGGTTTTGACAATGAACTTGAGACAAACTTCATTAGCATGCAGGCCTGCTGTCTGTCACGTCGAGCTCAGACTGAGTTCCCAGGCCGGCCGGGGAGAGTGGGAGGGAGGGAGGGAGGGGCGGGGTGGGGGTGACAGAGAAGACTCGGCCATTGTGGCATCCTGGGCTCCCCCCGCCTCCGCGTCCAGCAGATATTGGGACCCCAGCCCTGGAAACCAGCCCTCGAGTGGCTCTCCCTCCTCTGAGAACAAGATAATTTATCTCCCACTTTGAGTCTGTGGTCCCACCCCTCCCGTCTCCCCGTCTAGACTTCCGAGAGGGCGCTGCCCTTCGCCGCCCCCCGCCCTGCTCCCCCTCCCTCAGCCCCCAAGTGTCACTTTGTCCTTCACAACGAAGATGTGGACTTGTGATTCATCCAGCTGACGGGGACGGGGTTGGGGGCCACCCTGAAACGGCCAAGTGTCCTTCTGCCATCTCTCCGCACCCCCCAACCCGGCTCCCTCTCAGTCCGAAGGTCAGTTCGACCTGGCGGGAGACAGGGGCCCTCGCGCTCCTGTCCCAGCCTGTCTCTCGCTTCCTTTGGGGATGAGGGTGGCCTTGAGGAACAATAGCTTCCCTCACCCCTTCTTCCTGCCTCAGGTTAGAAAAGGCAGCGGGAGGAGGTGGGGACAGGCGAGCCCACAAAGACCCCTTCCCACACCGGCCCGGGAGCGGGAGCGGAGCGGAGGGGGCTTCCTCCGGGCGGCTGTCATTTTGGTGGTTGTGGTCTCTCCAGACAGGGGCAGCACCCCCTCTTTGCTGCCTTCCAGGGAGAGCAGCAAGAGAAAGAAAGAGCGAGGCGAGCGGAATTCCTGAATGGACAGACCGATGCTACGTCACCGGCCGCGTCCCCGCGCCACAGGAGGCTGGGAGCCGCGAGAGAGGCAGTCGGCGGGCGGCAGGGACCGCCGAGCCGGCTCTCCTCCTCCCAGAAGCTGGGTGAGTGGCCGTCAGCGAGCGTCCTTGCTGCCCCGGCCGGTCGTCTGGGCTGGGGTGGGGCGGGGGGGTCCCCTACGATCAGTCGGGGCGCCCTACCTGGCCCCCTGGCTGATGGAAGCGGCTGCGATAATCAGAGAAAGGGAAGCTGATGAAAGATTTAAGGGGGGGCCAAAAGGGGTGGGTCAGGTGCGTGGAGGGGGGAGGGGGGTTGGCAGAGGGGGGTGTCTCCCCTCCCTCGGGTCGGGGCGCCCAAGGCGGCGAGCGGAGCCGAGGCAGCCGCCAGAGCGCCTCCGGGCCCCCTCCTTCCGCGAGCCCTGGCGGCGGCGGCGACGGAGACATTCACCAAGTTTGTCAATGGGATTCAGGGGGCTTCAGGGTCACGGTGCTACTGATCCTATTAATCAGCCCCTCCCTCTCGCCACCAGACGGCCAACATCTTAATGCTGGGACCAGAGCGGGGGCCGGAGGGAGACTAGCGGGGATGGGAGGGGAGAGCAAAGTGGTTCTGTATCTGGACTCCTGACCTTCTTTCCTTTCCTGGCTCTGGTCCGCCCTCCAGACATCGGCTCTTAGGAAGTGACCGAGTCTGAGGGTTCGGGGAGTGGGGGAGGGGGCAAGGAGGGGAAGGAGCCACGTTCCCACACAGGTGGAGACCAGAATTAGGGAAAAAAAGCCAAAAGCATTTTGTAGGATTTAAATTAACTTAGTTCCCCCTCGTCCCTGCTTTTCCCCAGAGCTGGCAGGCGGGACAGGGGTCGGGGGGCTTGAAGGCCGTGGGCGTCGGGGCAGGACCCCTACTCCGCCGTCTCCAGCCCCATCTGAGGCTGGTCCTTAATTTCTTGTGTTTTTTTTTTTTTTTTTTTTTTTAAGAAGGGCCAGAGGATATAGAGAAGGCACAAGTCTCACTCGTGTCCCCGCCCACATGGGCGTTCTGGGAGACGGGCTGGGACCACCATGGGGCAGGGGGGGCCGGAGGAGGCCCCCAGACTCTTTCTGGTCCCCCAGAGGCCAGGTTTCTGGGAGAAGCTGAGGCCATGGGTCACCAGACACACACGTTCCATACCCCCCAGGCTCAGACCTCGTTGCCGTGTTCCGCCCCCCCCCATCCTATGCATGTTTTGGGAGGGGTGCAGGGCAGGGTTCAGCAGGGAGAGGCGCACGCGGGGACCCCACGACTCTGTCTGGTGAGGGTGGAAGGAGCCAGAGGCCGCCAGCTGTGTCTGCGTCCATTTTCTAGGGAGTGTGCACGGCATGCTGTGGAGGAGGGCCGGCCCCTCGTTGGCGGGAGGAGCATTTCAGGGGAAACGTCCCTTTATGCAGGGGTGGGCAGGCAGGGCTGAGGCTTGGGGTCGAGGGGGCGTTCGTGGGGCGGGGGGGGGTGCATTCCAAGCACTCTTGGAGGTCAGGCTTATTCCTACCTCCCAGCCCTCCTTTTTATGATTTCCTCTGCATTAAGGTAGATTAGCTTCCTGATCAAAAAAAGAAGGTGGGGTAGTTGTGGAATTGAGTTTGAGGCAGAAGGATTCACCACCTTACCCCCCCCCCCCCGCGCACACACACGTGCACACACGCACACGCAAATACTTCCCTTAGTGTTCGAGGAGCTGGGTCGCCCGTGTCATTCCCCTAAATAAAAATTTAGCCTGAAAGCAAAATACTGGGCTGGGGAGACTGGGTTCCATTACTCAACATTAAAATGAGAGCAAGCTGCTTTGTATTCTCACCTCCCGCGCCTGTGAGCCAGAGGGGAGAGGAGGCCACGGCTCTGCTCCTGCGGGTGGGAGGAGCCTGAGAGAGCTCGGCCCGTATTGGAAGGGCAGCGCACTTTACAGGTTGTAATGCCGTTGGATCTGGACGTACAAAACAGGGGCTTGCCCCCGGATCTTGCCTCCTGTCCTGAGCAGCAGGGGCTGTGAGGAGAGAGTGTCCCCGGGCAAGGGGCTCTGGCTGCCCAGGGCCCTGCCCTCCTGCGCATCTAGGCTTTTCTCTCCCAGCTGCCACCCCGTGCTGCGTGGAGGGCTGGTGCGCCCCGGGCTGGACCCGGGAGGAGGGGGGGAGGGGGGAGGGGGCAGGGAGAGTGGGGCCAGGACGGGGAGAGCTAGAGCCACTCCAGCACCATAACCTGCGCATCCTCCTCCTTGACAGGCTGGGCATCCAGGAAGCGGCGGCCTCGGTCCCGTGTCATCCTGTCACCGTGGGCGGCCACCTTGGCTTTTAGGGTATTTATTTTCTTATTTGTTGCTTTCAGTGGTGGAGGGGGGGCTGGCCCTGTGTCGTCTCTGGGGAAGAGTTCTCCCACCTCTTCACGGCTCTCTGCCCTGTCCCGCGTCCGGCGTGCGGGCCCTGACTTTGCTTCCCTCTGATGGCAGTTAAGACCCGTGGAGCCATGGACGGTGGGAATGGAGCGAGGGACTCAGGGGCCCCCTGCGCCCAGTCCTCGAGGCGGGGGGGGGGGGAGGGAGGAGAGCACTGGGGGTTCGGGGACTCTTCCCCTGGTCTCAGAGGCTCCGGAGGGCACACACAGGTGGCAGCGGGGGACCGGGGAGGTGCAGAGGCGTGTGTACCTGGGTGACAGAGGCGAGGAAGGAGAACCGTGCGTGCTGTGGGGAGTGGGGATCCCGGCAGCAGCCGCGAGAGGGTCCGGCCAAGCGCCGGGAAGCATCCAGCTCCCGCTGGTGCTGGGAGTGCCAAGGGCCCTCCGGGTGTTTGTCTCAGTGCACAGGTTTCTGAGTGTGTGTGCATGTGCGTGTGTGCGCGTGCACGCGCGCGCGTGTGTGTGTGTGCGCAGCCTCGGCGTCCTGACACACCCGCGCTTTTGCCCCTCAAGGAGACCATTTGCTGATGTGCTGATGGCGGACCCTCTGCCATCTCTGTCACCTGGTCCTCAGCTCTCCCGCGCCGCGGGGCTCTGGGCCCCACACAGCCTGTGGGTTTAAGGGACAACGGGGGGTGGGGGGGTCATTGCTCAGAGACAAATTCTCAGGCTGGCCTCTCACAGGAGAGAAAGGCTGTCTTGGGGGGAAGGGAAGGGCAGCAGCCGCAGGGACGAAATCTTCCAGATTCTGTCCCCAAGCCCTCGAGCCTCCTCTGCCTGCGTGGAGGGAGACAGATTTGTTTCCCCCGGAGCAGCGGCATTTCCAAAGCCGATTCTTGCTTTTCCGAGTCGCTGTCCCACAGACAATGCAAACATTCTGTGGCAAGAGAATGACGGTGACGGTGCTCATCATAATGATGCACTTAGAAGGCAGAAATAAATACCTGAACCCACCTCCTCCAACGGCCGCTTTCATCTGCGTCCTTAAAGCAAATTCATCTGATCACCGAAACAAAGACAAAACAGGCTGTTTATTTAATTACCTGACTCTGTCAAGAGAGTGGCTTAATGCCAGAATGGGTTCTGGACCCAAATTATAAAAATCTGTCCAAAACCTGCACCCAGAAGGGCCCAATTCAGGCCATGTTTTCCTCTTCTACGTGGGCTTTCCAGGCGCAGACAATGGGTGGGCATCGGGGCCGTGGCGATGGGGGTGGGGACGGGCACTGGCAAAGACCACGGGCTCCAAGCTAACTGAGACACTTCCAGACTCAGATCAACACCAGGGACTGGGGGGGCTCTCTCCGCAGCACCCCGGAATCTCGCTGGAAGGGCCGCGGGTGGGGTGTGAGGCCGTGGCTCTGGAGAACACGGAGCGTGGTGGAGGTGCTCTGGGCTCTGGTGGAGGCCTTTCTGGGGAGGCTGAGGCTGGCAGGCCAAGCAAAGGGGGCCCTAAGGACCCCTTCTCGCCCTGGCAGCAGCCTCTCTCAGGCCTGCTGCGTCGACCGAGATAGGGAGATAGCGGAACTGCTGAATAGTGACTAACGCACTCGCCACGGTCGCTACACCTCTCCCCTGCCCTCGCACGTGGACCCCGCTCACTCGGGACGCACATTCTGGCAAAGCTCTCCCTCTGCACCTGTACCGGGTGAGTGAGAGCAAACCCAGACGTGCAGACGCACCCACAGGTCCACGCACGGGTGCCCAGCCTGTTTCAGGGGCGGTCAGATCCCTGTGAATGTGTGTGGTGTGGCTTCCGGCCTTGAGGGCGGTCTGTTTGCCCCCCTCCAAGTAGTTTCCTTTTGGAAGCTGGAGTCCGGGGGCTGGGTGTGCAAACCGAGCCCAGCTAAGGCGCCGGTGGGGAGTTCGGAGAATTCGGTACTTCTGTCTCGCCTTGCAGCTCCGTCCCCCTGGGAATGGGGCCGGAGGGGACCCCTGTCCCCTCCACCCCTGAGCGGGAGCCCCGGGAGTTCGAGTCTGCCCAGACAACACCAAGCAGAAAATTGCTTCCTCAGGAATCTGGACAGAGAGGGTGACCCCAACTGAAACTAACCTCCATCTTTTGTGGGGGCTCCTTAAATGTGGATGCCTGTCTGGGCGGAGGCGCCTCTGTAGAACCTGGAACCACAGCAAGAGGCAGACTCATTATGTAGCTTTTTGGGGGGAGATTTGGAAATGTACCCATTTCTTCCCAGACCTCACTTTTTCAGAAGGTCCAGCTGAGTCTGATTTTGGCCAATGGAGGCGGGGGTGGGGCGTCCCCATGGGTCAAAGAAACCTCTCTGTGTATAGTGGTGGCTGACCGAGAAGGAAGATTCACGACGATTCCCGCTCCCGCTCCCCGTGGTGCTGGCGTCTCCAGGGTGAGGGCTGGTGGGGTTAAGCCTGGGCCCACTGAGGGGAGGGAGCCCGGCTGGCTGGCACTTAGCGGGGTAGCCAGCTCTTTCCCACGTGCGGGCCCAGCCTCCCAGGCACTGGGTGAGGGGTGTAGGGGGCCGATCGCCTAAGGGGCTTTTAAAGGATCTTGCAGGGAGGGTGGGGGGCCGATGGGGAAATATCTGTAAGGGAGGTTGGTGTGTGTGTGGAGAAGCGTAGGCCCTGGGAGGGTGACTGGAATGTCTAGAGGGTATTGGGTATCTTATAAGGGGGTGTGAGGTCGTGTATCTAGAAATAGTTGGGGAGGTCTGTAGGCAGGAAGCTGGAAGGCTGCGGGGGGCCTGGTTTGGACCGTGCGTTTAAGGAGCGTGTCTAGCAGCCTGCCGGTAGGTAGGTCTATCTGTGAGAGTGTTAGGGGACGGTCCCACTTTTCTGCAACTGAACTGGGACGACAGACACCCTGGGGCCTGCCCCCCCCCATGCTCCATTCTGAGTTCTAGGGGCACCTGGGAGGGTCAGGCAGAGAGAAAGTAGACAGTGGACATTTTGTCTCTTTTCTTCTCCCTCCCCCCAGCCCGCTGTTGGCTGCTGTGCTCCCAGGTCTGAGAGGGTAAAGAATTGATGCCGTGGAAGCTTCTAGAAAGCCTTTCCTTTAGGTAAGGGTCCTGAGACCCTCGTGGAGGCTGACAGAGGGGGGAGAAAAGCTGTGCCAAGCACAGCCCTGAGAATGCGGAGGCTGGGGAGATCAGGCTGTCTGCTGCAGCTCCAGACTGCCCCTCGGGTGGGGAAACTCAGGCCCCTGGCCTTTATCTGTTTTACCTGTTTCTAATTGCTCCCCACCTCTCAGTCGCGTAGCGATTATTCAGACTTTCTCCAATCTTTGAGGGGTGCATAAAATGAAACCCATTGGCCATTGGCTTGCCTCTAACCAAGGTGAATAGTTTTTCAGGCTGGGCTTTGTCCTCTGTGCAGAGCGGCGAGGCCCTGGAGCCGATAAAACAGTCTGGCCGGGCCTGCGGGGGAGACCCCAGGTCCCCCGATGGCACCTCTGTTGGCATAGTGTTCAGGATCGCGGCTGATAGGCATCGGCCCTTATTAAGGAGACACACTGGCTCTAGGTATCTATGTCGTAGGATTTTTTTTTTAGAAAAGGGCCGAGAGCAGGGTGGTTGGAGGGGTGGGGCGGGGAATTCGCAGAGCGCACCCCGCCAGGGACCCAGGCTCTCTCCGAGAGCACCGCCAGGCTGGGAGAATCCAGATTATTCCCCCTGCTGGGCGGTGCGCGCTGCCCCGGGCTGGGTCGCTGCATTATCTGATTCTCTGGGCCAGATGAGGAGCGAGGTCAGGGAAGCCCGGAACTTCAAGCCCCAGCTCTCCACGCACCCCGAGCGGAGCCGAGGTGGGGGCGCAGGGCTCGCCGTTGGAGGCTCCCCAGGAGGGGGGAGGGAGAGGAGGCGGTGGCCAGGGCCTGCTCCGTGGCTGAATCAGGTGCGCCCAGGTTAACGCCGGCTGGGGTCCCCCAGCCTCCAGCACTCGGAGCTTGGGTGCAGCGAGCAGGTTCAAGGGATATTCCCGTTTCTGCACAACGGAGAGGAAGGCCCCGTCTCGCTCAGACCCCGCCTCTCCCAGCAGGAGTCCCTAGCTAACTTCCAGAACCTGTCCCTCTTCCCTCACTGTTTTGGGTTGAAAACCACCAAGAGACGTTCCCGCCCGTCCTAAGGGTTAGGATCCCAGTCTGGAAGGGATCAGAACACAGGCACAAAGAATATCCTGGGCAGAGGCGGCAGGTGGGGGTGGAATCTCCAGTTTTCTGGTTCTTTTTAATATTTCACCGATCTCCTTCCCCGTCTCTGCCCCCCGCGCCGCGACCCGGTGCAGTGTATCTAGGGCCCAAGTGGAGAATGTGGGGCCCCGAAGAGAGTGAGGATGGGGATCCCAACCACAAACGGCAGTGGGTGGGAGGCGGCAGGCGGGTCTGGGGTGGGCGAGGCCGCCGGAGGCTGGGAATCGGCACCCCGAGGTAGTAGCTCCCCCCCACCCCGTTCTGGGGGGAGGGGCGCCCCACTTGCGCGCTCCAGCTCTTCCGAGGCAGGAGAGGGGCGGGGCGGCGGGGAGACGAGGCGGTGACGTCAGACTCGGCGGAGCCAATCGGAGGCTGGTCTGCGGAGGGAGCGTGAAAGGATGAATGAAAAGTCCGGAGCCGGAGCGCGCCGGGGCCAGAGCAGCGGCCGCCGCGGAGGCGGGAGCCGGGGAGGCGAGGCCCGCGAGGCGCTGCTGGCCACGGCTCCGCGGAGGCCGAGGTTCGGGGGGCGCCTGCGCCCCGGCGCCCGAGGAGCCCTGGCGCCTCCGACCCAGGCCGCGGCTCTCCGTGGCGGGGGCGCGCCGGGAAGACGGCGCGGGAGACCTCGATGGGCGCCCTGGGCTCCATGTAAGTGGCCTGGCCGGCGCGGGGCGGCAGGTGGGCGAGCGCCGGCGTCCGGCGAGCCTGCGCGTCCGCCCCGGGGCCGGCCGAGCCCCGCACCCTCCTCTGGGCTGCCTGCCGGGACCTCCGTGACGACTCCCGTCCTCGATCGGAATCCCTGCCAAGCCCAGGGAACCTCCCGCCTCGGGCCCCCGGCCATTTTCACAGCCTTGGGGGCTTTGAGGACCTCTTTGTACAAAGCCGTTTGGCTGGGGGTCCGGTGGGGTCCAGTGGGGCCTGGGACTCCGCTCACCTGCCCCTCCTGGGTGGGGTCTGCCCTTTCCTCCTCTCCCCAAGGCGCGCTTGGGGGGCTTCGGGGCGCCCCCCCCCCCCGCACCAGCCTGCCTGCCTCCCGGTTGCCGGGATTTCCTTCCCCTGCCGGGACGCTGCCTGGGTTTCCCCCACGATCCGCTGTTCGCCCCACGGTTCAGCGGGCATCCGGGTTCCAGCCCTTGGCGAGCTGGGGGTCCCCGCGCTCCCACGCAGAGGCTCGGGCTGTGGGGCGCGCCCTGCAGCCTCCAAAGGAGGGCGGCGGGGACCCCGTGGGCTGGCCGAGGCCTCCGCCGCGGCCCCTGCGGTCTTCCCTGGTGGCGCGGAAGCCCGCGAGCCCCTCTTCCTGCGGAACGACCCGCGGACTCCCGCTCTGGTTCTGACGGGGAGCGAGAAACCCGGCGTTCGAGGCTTCGGGGTCCGGGGGCGCCCCCCCCCGGCCTCCACACCCCCCGCGGCCGCGTCCTTCCCACGCCCTTTTCGGCGTCTGTGGTGTCTGTGTCCTGTACTCGGGGGTCCCTTTCCGTCGTGGGCTCCGTTTCTCTCTCCGCCCCCACCTGCACCCCTCTGCCCTCTCCCACCTCCACCGGCTGGCGTCCAGGGGGCGGCGGCGGCGGCGGCGGCGGCCGGGAGGCTGCGTGGAAGAGGCGGCGGCAGCAGCAGCCAGGAGGCGGGGTTGGTTGTTATCTTTGGTTATCTAGCTGTATGAGTGGTGTGGAGTCTTCATAAAGCTAGATAACCGAAAGTAAAAATAACCCCATGCACTGCGCAGACGGCCCCGGGAAAGCTGGCCGCACGGGCGGGCGGGGGAGGCCTGAACGAGGGGCTGGGGGCGCGAGGACCCCCGGGCCGCGCGGGCGAGAGGAGGAACCGGTGGCCCGCGGGCCTCAAGACCGCACCCCAGCCCCGGGCCGCACCGAGGCGCCGCCCCATCTCACGTTGCCAGGTGCTCTGGGGGGAAGGCAAGAAAGGGGCGGGGTGGTTGCTCAGGCCGGGCCTCGCCTGCGGGCTGCCAGTGGGTCCTGCGGGGGGGGAAGCCGCTCCCAGACAGAGATCTGTGGAAATCTGGTCGCGGGGTTATTTGGGACAGTGCCTGGGGCTCGGCGCCCAGGCCTCTCCGGTCGCGCTGGCGATCCACAGCTCTTGCTGGGGTGGGAGGCTTTGGGGGAGCGCCCCGCCTCCTCCTCTCAAGGAGAAAAGGAAAGAGCAGGGTCTTCTTTGCTTAAATCGGTTCCTTGAAGCCACATGCGTGTACCCGGCTGGGCTGGGAGCCGAGAACCCCCGAGGTGGACACCAGGGGAGCGAGAACGGGGGTACGCGGGGCCTGCGTTCTGGGGCAGTGGAGGGCAGACGATTTCTCAGCTCCCTCGATTCCTGGATTCTGTACTCTTTCCGACCCAGGACCTGAGTCTGGTGTCTTGAAGAGCTCCTCATGCCAGCATTGTCTTCGCTGACCAAATGGGTTGAGTTGGGGTCTTTCCGGACACCCCAGCCTCCCACCCAATCCTCGCTCTCTCCAAGAGCAAATGACCTGGAGGAGCTCAAACACAAAGGAATTTGTAGCTTAGTATTTATGCTGCCCGGAGAAAGCAAAGAATTAGAGAGATTAATCAGGGCCTTTCCTAAAAGAATCCATTTCTCTGGCCTGACCTAAATATCTTAAGCAAAAGGGTTTCGGTGCAGTCGGGGAGAGAGCAGTCTAGAGTGACTTGGTAGAATAAAAGTGAACGATCTAGAAGTGGCCTGGCTGCACTTACTTCCTCTCCCCATTCCACCCCTCGCTACCTGGCCCCCCAGAACGCAGGGCGACTGGACAAAACGACCTTGTACGGAGTCCAGTTCCCCATGTAAATTTACAATTTCCTCCAGGAACTGATAGCTGGGAGAGTAAGATTCAATTATATATTATGTGGGAGAAATCTTGGGGAATCCAAACTAAAACAGGCTTCAGAGAGCCTGGAGCAGTTTTCTTCCTTTCAGAGGTTTGGAGGAAGGAGATTCGCCGCCTCTGGCTTTTTCAGCTGCTTGGAATTTGGTGTTTGGGGAGGGAGGGGGGCAGTGGAGACAGAGAGCGGGTTCAGGCAGGGACTGAGAGTCCCGAACACCACACCACACCTCCGGTAACAGCCTCTGTCTACGAGCCTCTCTTTGATCCTCAGACACTGTAAAGTAGCTGTCGCTAACCCCATTTTACAGATGAGGAATCATAGACCCCAGTCCATTGCTAATGTCGCCCTCCGTGGTTTCAAACCCAGGGGAAAGACTAGAAGGTAAGGTGAGGAAGAGAAAGACAGGTGCTTTTTTTCTTTTTAACTCTTCATGCAGCTGGTAGGAAACGCGTGTTTGGGATCTGCTGAGACTCATTCACATAAGACTTCGCACTTCTGTTCTAACCACAGTGGGTGTATATTGTAATCATGGGGCCCCATTAGCACATCTGACCACAGGGTCCCTGAGGGAGGACAGAGGCCTGTGGAAGCTGGTGGGTGGAGGGCTCACGCCCTACAGGACAAGAACCTCCTCCAGGGAGAGGGGACGAAGGCCAGGAGGGGTGTGGGGGTGAGTGTGTGCTGCCCTACGTGCACACGTGGTGGTGTGCGTGGCCGTGTGGGCGGGGCTGCGGGAGAGCGGTGGGTGGCTGCGCTGGGGGCCGTGTTTCTCATGCGGGTGAGAAACTGGGTGAGCTGCTGGGAGGCTGGTTGTGTGTGATCCGCGGGGGCAGGAGGCTTGGCCGTCAGATCGGGGCAGCCCGGCTACACAGAGGTTTGAGTCCACCGGAGGAAGACACTCCGGGATCCGGGAGGCTTTGTGAAATGCAGACATCATGAGTCCTGCTCGCCCCCCCAGCCTCTATAGCGGACAGCACCTCCTCCAGCTGAGCCTCCAGGAGCACTGATGGAGCGGGGGGTGCAGGGGGCTGGCTTGAAAGGGGCTCGCAAGGGCCTCACCAGTTCCCAGTTAGCAAATTTCTTTCTGGGTATCATCACACTTCTGTCTGTTTCCATGAGTTTTTAGTTTTATTCTTCAGATCTCGCAATGTCCACCCATTCCTACTGGGACCCAAGTTCTAGGCTGGTTTCTTTACCCAATTCCGTCCCCTGCCCTCATTCCAATGCCCTCCTATTGAATTCTGAGTCCCGGGGTTCAAAGGCAATCTTCTGCCAAATATCTGGTTCAAGTTTTACATTAGCACTAACACCCTCACGTGGGTCGATTTTTCCCCAGTTCGGGGCATGGAAAGGTCTCGCCAGGCACAAGCATTGTCACCATCAGCAAGCCTGGGGAGGGTCAGGAAAGAGCGTGTGTGACTGGATGGGGGTCTGTGCCTCTGTGTGTCCCTCACCAGCTGCGACAACTCTGAGCCTCAGTGGGATGTTCATATAATGGGGAGAAGAAGGTGTGTGCTCAGGATTGTTACGTGGAGCAAACAAGGGATTGTATGTAAAAGATCTTGTCATATGTTACGATACGCACGCGCAGAGAGTAATTCTCCAGGAACAGAAGGGTTAAAGGCCACGGTTTGGAGCAAGGATTTGAAAGCGTCTGGTTGATCTCAGGATGTAAACGGGGCACTTGGTATGTTCTTGCCTGAGGATTTCACATCACTTAAACTTGAGGAAGTTCCTCCTTTTCCAGCTTCGGAGTCGAGGAGGGGCTCCTGGGGACCTGGGGAGGCAGTGTCTGAAGCATGGCGGGAGGAGGAACAGCCTTCCAGAAGCCTGTTAAGAGGCTGGAGTCCACAAGGGCAGAAGGGCCATCCTGTTTTCTGTTCTTCACGGATCTTACCACCTACCGGTAGAGTACTTACAATCGGTAAACTGAGTTGTGGAGATAGAGAAATGTGGCATGACTAAGATGACTCCAAGTATATTCCATTAAGTTTCCAGAGGGACTAAAAACACGGTTTATTACGTTTAAGGACTAGTTAGGTAGTGGGTAGAACTAACCAACCAAAGAGAGACCTGACTACCTGCCTATAGACTTTCCTCAGCACTGAGCAACTTGAAGAAGAGGTGTGTTTTCTCTCCTCTTTTCTCCCAGCCCCTACTCTTCCCCCACCTGCCGAGTCAATTCCCAAGGCTAGAAACCCACCGAGGAAGCCTCAGCCCCTCTACGTTCTTCTGGGTCTGGAAGTCCTTCTTGTAGGCTGCAATTCCCAAGGTTTGGGAATTGGAATATTCTGATATTTATATTTCTTCACCACCTTCCCACCCCAGTGCTCTGGGGTCAGACTGGCCTTTCCACCTTCCTTCCTTCGATAGTGAGACCTCAGAGATCGTGGCGGGTTGTGGCGCTAGCTCATCCAGAGGCAGGGTGTGCCCGCTTCCCTACCGGATAAATGAATTTAGGTTAATGCTTTCAAATCATTGGAGGGAAAGAGTAGACAAAACCATGGAAAACATTCCTGGAGCTTTGAGGAAAATGAGAAGCAGGGTTATGGAAGGTAGAGGTGCGCAGGTGCGTATTCAGACGGGAGAGAGATGGGAGAAAGAGGGGAACCCTTCGTTGCCACCCAGGCTCTCCCAAGGCTCAGAGTGACACCCCCCTCCTCCTGCCCTAATCCCCCCATTAAGGCTGCTCTGAGTTTGTTATGACAGCGGCTGAAGGCAGCTGAATTGCTGTTTGCTGTGTCTGCTAATTGGACTGAAGGGTTGGAATCTGGACACTGAAAGAGACCATTGTTGCTGTTTACCTTCGACAGCTGCCTCCCTGGGGACCTTCTGGGTGAAGGGGAGCAGCATGCCCTCAGGGTCATTGCACCCATGCCCTGCCTCCGCACGAGGGACTGGGGTGGGGAGACGGTTCATCTCATTGCCGCACCTCATTGGGATGGCTTGAGCTTCCACAACACGAAAGAGAGGCACCCAACACCTGAGTCGGTCTCCAATCCAGATCAGGCCCGGGGCCACCAGGAGTTCCCAGGAGATGCTTTCCTTCCCTATGTATTCCCTTCCTCTTCAGGGGCCCTGGTCTCGCCTCTTCCTCCAGCTGATCAGGTTTAACCCCTGTACTCTTTCTTATGTGCTTTCTTCCAGGCCAGTGATTCTCAACTAGGTGATGCACTAAAACCACTTGGGGAGCGTTTAAAAACAATATTGATGTTGGGGTCCAGCCCCAGGCCAATGAAATCAGAGTATCTGGGAATGAGGCCTAGACATTGGTATCACTTAAAAGTTCTCTCAGTGTTTTGAATGTGCAGCTAGGGTTAAGAGACACTGATGTAGGCTTACGTCTCCGCCCTGGGGGACAGACAGACACACACATGTGCACACATACACAGGCCCTTTCATGCCTTCCTTACCTTTCCTCTCGAGCTCTTGATGGTTATAATACTATTGAGCAGATTGTGTATCTTCACTTGTGCATCGTTCTCATCCTTATTTCTAAAGTCCTTGTAGGAACCTTAGAATTTAGGATGGAATGTGGAGGTCTGTACCCTGTGAACTACCTCAACCCGAGCTCTTCCCCAAGAGCAGGAACTATGGCTGTATCTCCCTGTGCATTTCCAAATAGGATCCAGATGGAGACTGAGTTAATCTATGACTCTAAGTCATTAGGGATGAAGGGGTGTGAGGTTCAGAGTTGCAGTGCCTCTCGGGCCCCTCCTCTCCCAAAGTAGCATTGGCAGTTTGGAGGTCTTCCCAGAGGAGAAGCTTTCCTCAGGGGCATCTGTCCCCTTGCTTACTGTTTCCCAATGTTTCTGCTTTTCTTCTCTTCCTTTTAGCTTCTCACCTGGGGCGGGTGGGTGCCTGTCGCCCTCCCGCCCGCTTTCCGCCACTCCTGGGCCAGAGCCGCGTCCAGCACCACGGACAGCTCCGGGCGGTGAGTAGACGGCTTGCAGCCCCCCTTTGGGAGGGGTCGGAGGGGTCTGCTCTCTGTCTCCAGATTTTGTAATCTGTGGGGACTGCTTGCAGGCAGCCGTGGAGTCGCAGGAAGAGGAAAAGGCTGAGGGCAGTTGGCATTCCATTTTCAGGGAATCTTTGGGTTTGTCCTCTTCGGGGCGTCTGAACTGAACGGTGTGGGGGGTGGGGTGCAGCTGCAGCCGCCGCAAGGATGAGAGTTCGATCTCGATCTCGGGAGGGACGTGCCCTAAGCTCACGTAAGGTCAAGCAGAGCTGGAAGGAGCCTTCGCCCTAGATCCCTCATTTTACAGACCCCGAGAGAGTGGAAGAGTTCTGCCCAAGGTCACTCGGCCGGGGGCCGGAAATGCCGAGAGGCAGCCCCCTGAAGTCCTGCGTGGCCCTGCCCGCTGTGTCTGACGTGTCCTGCAGGAACTCCCCTGCCTGACTCAGGTGGAGCTGGCCTAATGCGGTGGGGCGGGCTCACAGGTTGTCCTCGCACGGAAAGGGACAGAACGCGTGTCTGGGCACGTGCGTGTCCACGCAAGCCAGGAAGAGGCAGGAGCAACTGCTGTCTGTCGGAGGTTTGCAGGGAGGCCTCAGAAAGAAGCACAGGGAAGGCATGCCTCGCAGGAGCTGGCAGGCCCACGGGAGAGAAGGGGGCAGCCATCTGCCAGGGCGCAGAGGCCAGCGGATGGCCACAAGGAGTCTCCAGAGGCCAGCAAGAGTCACGCAACCTGGACCGGGGCCTGGGAAAGGCCCTTCTGTGTGCCCAGGCCTGCTCCCCCAACACCGGGAGCCCAGAAACAAAGGGGCCATTCTCTCTAGGATGTGATGCCGCCATCTCCGGCTGGCAGTGCCAGGTGGTGGGGGCATCAGGGGGTGTCAATCTATTATCCCCCCCTTAACTCTTAGGTCCTCTGGGGCTGGATGTTGGGGAGGTGGGTGTTCCATGCTATGTTGCCATGGCAACCACCCCAACCCCCACCTTCCAAAGCACAAAGAGAGACAGCTTTCACCCCCCACCCCCAGGAAGAACCTGGGTCTGGTTGGGAATCTTCCCTTGGGAATCCTCCTTTCTGAATCACAAGCCTTGGCATGCATGAGCATCAACCTCTTTTCAGCACTGGAGCCGCACAGGCAGGGAGGCTGGCGCACCAGAGGCTCTGGGAAGGTTGTGCGAGGGAGCAGGAGTCCCTTGTACTTAACCCTCTCTGCCCTCGAGCTCTCCTGCCCGTCACCTACAGCCGAGGCCATCCTCAGCCTTCTCAGCTGAAGTGCCCGGGCCTTGACCTTCAGCTCTTTCCCAGAGGCGAGGGACACCCTGGTACCGCCGGCCAGCCTCCAGGCTGTGGGAACGGGAGAAGAGGAGGGGGTCATTCCTGCCACCCTCCATCTGCACCCTCCGCCATTACTCATTAGGCATTCTGCCCCCTCCTTCCGCTCGTTAAGCCTGATTTGCATACATTTGCATAATACAACTCATTTGCATTCCAGGAGGCTCATGGTAGGAGCCAGGAAAAAAGGGGAGGGGGTTGGAGGAGAGAGAAAAGGGGAGAGATTTTGTTTTCATCAAAGTGTGCGTGGGGGGGGGGGCGGTGGCAGGAAGAGAACAGAAATAAAAACTCACACTACTTTCTTTCTTCCCTTCTGCCGTCCCTCCCTGAGCTGGACTCAGATGCCAAAGAGAGATGCCAAGGGGCCGGCTCTTCTGTCCTTTTTTGTCTTGCTTCCTCCGGCCTTGGCTCCCCAGCCTGGCCCCCCACCTTGTTGGGCTCGGGCTTCAGAAAGACAGAGGCAGGGGTACAGGCAATGCTGTGGGAACGGAAGCGAGGGAGAGCGAAGCCGCCATGTTAGGCAGCTGGTGCCCCTAAGATGGCGGCCCCTGACAGGTGGATGGTCGTGGCGGGGGCTGAGGCCCCCGGAGCCCAGGAAGGACTTGCTGGCTGGCCGGGAACATGGCTGAGCCTCCCTGCTGGAGGGACTGAGGAAGGGAGGGAGGGAAGGCGGGAGGGAAGAGGCATGGCAGCCCCAGAGGAGAGAGAGCCTGGCGTAGGGGCAGGGCTGGAGGGGCCTCCCGTCCACTCACAGACCCTGTGAGCACCCGGTGGTCAGAGGACTTGATGGAGGAGCTGATGGACTGGGGGTGATGCACAAAGACTGGCGGGCGGGGGGGGCGGGGGGGGTCAGAACTGGGAGTCTCAGCAGGAGGAGGGGGAGGGGAGGGGGTGGGCAGGCGGGACCTCTGCCAGTTTGAGGGCCTCTCTGGGGCCTGGAGAGGCTGCTGTGTACTTGAGGCAAATCTCATTCCCTGCTCAGCCTGGCAGTCTGGCTTCCATCATCACGGCTCTCGAAGCTGCGCCCGGAAGACCACCCACAGCCCCACCACGGGCCTGCCACCCACCCCCCACCTCCGCCCCGGTGACCTCTATAGAACATTCCCTGGGGGCCCCGGTCCTGCCTTCTCCTGTGGCCTCTGGCTCTCCTGGTACATCCTCGCTCATGCGTCCTGGGTTCTGCTCATTCAGTCCCCCAGGTCCTCAGTCGTGAGTGCTCCCCAGGGTTCCGTGGCCCTGCCACGTGCATCACGTCAGCCATCGTGGGTTCTAGGCTTCTGGAAGTCCGCCCACTTCCCTAGCCCTGGCCTCTCTGAACCCCAGGTCTGTCCCCTCCCTGCTCTGAGTGCTCCTGCCCTTAGCTTCCGGGGCAGAGGCTGGAGGGGTGGCCCTGTCGGGTGCTGCCCTGGCCCCAGCAGCAAGGCGTCCGGGAACACTCCCGTGCTTCTGGCTTTCATGGTGGCCCAGAAGCTGGCCTCCTTCCAAGATTGCAAGGGGCCCCTCCCCAGATGCGGCCCAGGGTCCCGGCGCTCACTGGCTCAGCCTGCCGCCCCCTCCGCCAGTGGTGTCACCAAACTGCTGGGCCCTCGGGTCACACCGGGTTGCACCGGGAGCAGGCCCTCCCCCTCCGCATCACTCACACGAGGATGGTCCCTTCTCCCTGTGTCGTGCCTCTCACACCCACACCTCCCTTTCCCTTAGCTCCTGGCCCCGTGGCTCGTTCCGTCAGCAGGCGTGTGCGGGGCGAAGGCAGAGCTGGGGCGCAGGGCTGCTCCGTGGTCAGCAGTCTGGCGGCGAAGGCAGACAGGAGCCACGGGACACTGGGAAGCCTGTTGCCCCGAAGGCCTGAGCCAGGCCCTGGGGAGCATGGGGCTGGGCAGGCAGGGAGGGTCTCCAGGAGGGGCCGAGGGGCAAGTGGTAAGACAGACGGATGAAAGTGAGGACAGGTGAGCAGGGGGTTGTCAAGTCCAAGGTCTGAGGAAGTGGGTGGTGGAGAGGGGCCAGCTGCTGGGAAGGCAGGGAGGAAGGAGCAGGCTGGGCTGGGGACTGGGGTGTGGGTCACAGGGACTCTGGGCCGTCACAGGGACTTGGCCGGGAGGAGGTGGGCACAGAGGCAGAGGCTGGTCATTGAGAGCCTCGTGTGCCCAGCAGGGAGGCTGGATTTGACGGGGTGCTTAGCTGACAGCCTCAGATATGCGGGGTACAGGGTGTTGGGGGGGCGAGCAGCGCGGCCCCTCCCAGGAGGGACGAGGATGAGGCATCCAGCTGTCTGCTCAGCCCAGTGCCCAGCCAGACGCTTCCCCGGCTCCTGGTTAGTTCTGCAAATGAGGGACCAGCGGAGAGGCCTGGGAGCCCCCAGGAAGGCCTCTGCCCCTCCCCCAGACTCACCCCACCATCCACATGCGTGCCCCCTTGCATAGGGGTGGGCCTGTGGGAGCTCTCTGGGAGCAGCACGGGTGCCCCGAGGGCAGCTGGGGACTGAAGAGCAGGGAGGGGCTCAGCCCTGGAAAGTCCCTAGGGGAGGGGGTGCGGGCAGGGGTGTGGGCGATCAGGCTGAGGGACCCTTCGTGTAGGTGGTGGGAGGCTGGAGAGGCATCTGACGAGCTCCTGCTGGCCTCCGGGGCAGGGGAGGGGGGTGCCGGCCCCTGCCCCTCCCCCAGGCCCAGACTCTGCACAAAGGCTTCTCTGTGAGTGGCCATGGAAGTGGCCTTGTCAGGTGAGGAGGCTTAGCTCCCAGGGCCCACTAGGGGTGGGTGGAAGGGGGGTGGAGGAGGGGAGGGCTGAGGGGTAACCTCAGGCTTTAACCAGATCCGGGAAGGAAATGGAGAGGCTGAGCCTGGCCAGGGCCTCGCAGTGAGGCGGTGCCCAAGCCTTCCCGGGACAGGCCCCCCTCCATGGTGCGGTCAGGCCCCACAGGCTGCCCGCCTTCTTCCTGGCTGTAACCCCCACCCTCCCAGGCCCTCTAGCCTCCCTTCCCACCGTTGCATGCTGCTCCCCAGCTCCTGCACAGAGCTCCCCGCTCGGGGAGGGTGGAGAGAAGCCAGGGCCAAAAAAGAGGCGCGAGGCTGCCTTAGGCTCACACCCAGTCTCGACCTCCCTGGGGAAGGTTTCTCTCCTTGCCTGACCGGAGTGCTGCTCACCGTTAACGAGCAGTGTGGACAGACCTCCTCCCCCGCCCCTGACGCCTTGTTACGCACGCTGTTCCTGTAATAGATGCTTGGGTCTGGGCGCCGGGGCAGAATGACAGCGGCTCTGTGTCAGTCTGCAGGCTGCTCACAGATTTGGTAGCAGGGCTCCGTCCACACGACGACGGACAGCAGAAGGAGATTTTGGTTGTTGACTCTGAATCGGACAGGCTGGTCAGGACACGAACCATGGCTCCCCGCCCCTGCTAGCTAGGTGACCTTGAGCAAGTCACTTACTGTCTTCGGATCCTAACTTCCTTCCACAACTACCCCAAGGGGTCAGTTGGGTCAGCATGAATGAGGGTAAGGCTATGTGCAGATGGCCGGTGCTAATTCTAGAGGGACGCAGAGTTAGAGGCGCCATTGAGGTGGGGACAGTTGGGGAGGGCTTCCATGGCTTGGAAATGAGGGCACAGATCGCCGGGGGGGGGAGCATGCGGGCGGGAGGGGGACTCAGTGCAGTCCATGACGCAGGCCTGTCTGAGAAGCAGGCGAGCGTCTGGGTGGACACCGTTCTCAGGAAGAACTTCCCGAGGGGCTGGAGTGAGGGTGGGGTGAGGTTCCCCCGCAGCGCCCCAGCCCTGCTTGCTCCCCGCAACCCGCATCTCATGGCGCTCCAGAGGGCGCGCTGGCCGGACACTGTGACCCTCCAGTCAATGAGTCCAAAGTGGCCCCCGAGCCCTGCTTCCCAGTTCTCTTTCAGGCCCCCGATCTTAGGCCATCAGCGTTGCCAGGAGTGAGCTAAATTCAGACTTAACTGAGGTCCCTCAGCCTCTGGGCTGGGGGGTCTTTGGGAAACAGGGACTTTTGTCTTGAAGCGGTCATTCCTTGACGTTCAAGCTGGAGCCGGGAGGAAGGAGGGCTTGGGCGTCCTCCCGCACTGATGCCAGGGTAGCCTCCAGGCCTGCAGGGAAGGGCCAGGCTGAGGCTGGCACATGGAGGGAGAGCCCTGGGCACAGGGCATGAGCCTCGCCCGGCCAGGGCTGCCTTCTGCCGGGTTTGTCCATCTGGCACCAGCTGGCTTTCCAGTGCTGCCCCCGCAGCCAACCGAACTCCTTCTGCTGCTGTTGCCATAGCAATCGGCTGCCATCTTGTTCTCAGGGCACTACCCCCTACCTGGATCTTCCCAGGGGGCTCCTGGAGGATGCGACACAGGTTTCCAGCGGTGTCCCTTCCTCCTGCCAGCCATCCAATAAAAATAGCCACGGCAGAGGCCAACTATGTGTGAGGCTCTGTGCTGAGTACTCCCCGGGTGTCAGTGAATACGGCCCAGAGCGCATTCATGTGAGCAGTTTAAAAGGCTCCCACCCAGTCTCTCATTTCTGTGACAGACCCTTCCTCTCTCCAACCAGGAGGCACCGTCGTCTGGCTTCTCCTGTCTTGCGAGGTCCCTCCCAGGTCTAACCGACACCCGTCCCGCTGAAGTTCCAGTTCTCCGACCCTGGGCTTGACATGGCCGATGGGGGAGGTAAGGAGCAGACTGCCACCTGCTTTAGTCACTTTGTGGGGCTTCTCGGACTCCAGGGAGGTGGCCTAGGGAAACACACATTAGCTTCGTGAGGTCCGAGTGCCCCTTAAAGACCTGGGGACACAAGTGTGCCATCTTTTGTTTAGAGGGGCACCTGGCTGGCCCAGTCGGGAGAGCATGCGACTCTTGATCTCACAGTCATGAGTTCAAGCCCCACATTGGGTGTGGAGTCTACGTACAATAAAAAATAAGTAAGTAAGTAAGTAAATAAATAAATAAATAAATGAAATCTTGTTTAGCTAAGGGGAGTCATTGTCACAAGATGCTTTGAGATGCCCCATCCTTGCCCCCGTCCCCACCCAAAGAGAAAAGCAAGAGCCAGAGGCCATTGGAAAGGGATAGTCTCTCAGGCCCTCGGCAGGGGGAGTCCCCGAGGAAGGCAGGCTCCCCGCTTCTGCCCCTGGAGAGGTTGCAGCAGGGTCCCTGAGAGGTCCTGAGATGGTGAGAATTCCCTCCCTCTGGAGCTCCAGCAGAAGGCAGAGAATGGTCACCTTGACCTAGCGGGGCTTCGCTAAGGGGCACGGAGCAGGGGCCAGCTTTGCTGAGGGAATCTCCAATGAGGGGCAGATGGAGAGAGAAAGGAGGCCATTCTCAACTGAGGCAGGGTGGGCTGGCAGGGAGGGGCCGGGGATAATTTATGATATCATTGTTTCCCCGCCCCTCTCCGAGGCCCCCCTTCCCAGCCCCCTGCCCCTGTACTGTTGCTAGGAGATGCCGGGTACTCGGTCTGGGCTGGGAGGGCGGAGCATGCAGACACGGCTCCATCTGGACTCCTCCTCCCCCGCTGCTGGGGAGGGCCTGCTCTGAGCTGCACCCCCCCTGCCCAGGCCCCACCCTACACCTTCTCTCCTGCCTTCCCCCAAATCCAGCCAGCCTGGGGCTGTGGAGGTCCTGGGCAGCCTGAGGATTGGGGCAAGGAATGGAGCCGTGAGCGGCAGAGGGGAAGGCAGGGGGGACTCAGCTGGGGTGCTGAGGAGCGGCCGGCTCACCTCAGGGCCTCTGGTCAGCCCCGGTCAGGACAAGGGCCAGGGGAGGTCGGAGGCCTTGAGGAGCCCAAATTCGAGGGAGACCAAGTCTTTCCCTATAGGGAGCTACCGGTACTGGGTGAGGCAGGCCCCATCCACACCCCTCCATGGTACCGCCCCAGTCAAGGTTGGGGGCCTGTGAAGCTCATGTTCAGGGGTGGGGGGCGGCAGGGGTGGAGCTAGGCCAGGCAGGGAGGGAAGGCCGGACCTTCTGATCTGAGACTCAGGCCGGGGCGGGAGAGGGGCGCTGCGGCCACAGCTGTGCTCCTGACGCAGATTTCCGTGCGGCCCCCGCTCGTCTTCCCTCCTAGGTGCTGAGGCTCCTAGGGTCCCCCCACCCCAGGAAGGAAGGAGCTGACCTCGATTCCACACCCACCTGCTCACGCGAGCCCTCTCTTAGCCACATTCTTCGTCAATCTGCTGACAGGCCAGGGGAGATTCTGTCCCCCGCTTTGCAAAGCTGCAGTCAGGGCCCCACAGGGGACGCGTGAGTCACCCAGTCACGGGGCTGGTAAGTTGGGCCTCAGATGGGGGCCTGGTGGGTCCCCTGCAGAGACTGCCTCCCTCGTCTGTGGCTCTGGCAGTGACCGAGGGGCGGGGTCCCCCGGTGGGAAGCCGGAGGATGCTAAGGCTGTCCTGTGGGTGAGGCCAGGATTGGAGAAGAGGCCACCCAAACCTTCCCAGGTTGGTCCCCACCTGATGCCAAGTCCCCAGGGCCCTTACCTCTTCCCTGCTCGGGATCTGGGTGCCTCGGCCCGCCACGGCCCTAGGCAGCGCTCCTGGAAGACCCGCCTGGTCTCGCCCTCCCCAGCTCCCCGCCTTTCTGGTGGAGGGGAGCCCGAGGGCCACTGGACACTTTCCCGGGAATTCTGTCCCCTGCCTCCTGCTAAGGTCTCCATCCAAAGAAAACCTTTTCCCCCCTTGATGTTTTTTTTTCTTTTCAGACCAAAGAGAAGGACCTATTTCACCCAGCTGGCATGGGTTCCCTCTGAGAAGCCCTCCTGGATTGAATGAAGGACACGAGGCTAAACTCTAGCAAGTTGACTGGCTGCTCCAGGAAGCCCCCGGGCAGGACAGAAGGGGCAAGACCGTGTCTCCAGCCTGGGCTGCCTGTGGCACCTGGAGCCGCCTGGGAGAGGACTTCGTATAACCTTTGCTCCTGCGGCCACGGCTGTCCGCCCCGGCCCGTCCCAGTCCCCGTGCCGTCCCAGCTGGGAGTCCCCTGAGACGGCGCCCCACCTCAGATCTAATAAAGACCCCTGAATGCTGAGCCAGTCCTGGTGGTAGTGATGTGCCTGAGCAGGGCTGGGAGGGGAGGGCTCCCTTGGAGAGACCCTCGCTGGGGAGCCCCATTGCAGCAGGAGCCTCACGAAGACAGAACTCCCACCTGGGGGCGGGGGGGAGGGTAAAGACTTCCTCTGCTCCTTCTGCGTCTCCCAGCCGTCCCAAGGCTCCTGGCGGTGGCAGCCAGGCTCTGGTCAGTCCCAGCTCAGCGTGATGGCCAGATGCTGCCAGCATCATAGTTTGAGCCCTGGAATTAAAAAAAAATTTTTTTTGTTGTTGTTGTTTATTTTTGAGACAGAGAAAGACAGAGCATGAGCAGGGGAGGGGCGGAGAGAGAGGGAAACAGAGAATCCGAAGCAGCTCCAGGCTCTGAGCTGTCAGCACAGAGCCCGATGCGGGGCTTGAACTCACGATCCCATGAGATAGTGATCTGAGCCGAAGTCAGACACTTAACCCACTGAGCCACCCAGGCGCCCCCTGGAATTTTTTTTTAAGTTTATTTATTTGTGTGTGGGGGGTGGAGGGACAGAGAGAGGAGGAGAGAGAGAATGCCAAGCAGGCTCCATAGTGGCAGCACAGAGTCCTCCATGGGGCTCAGATTCACAAACCATGAGATCAGGAACTGAGCCGAAATCCAGAGTCGCATGCTTCACCGACTGAGCCATGCAGGCACCTCCAAACCCGGAATTCTTCTAAATAAAAAAGGCTTAAGGTGGTGTGCATGGCACACTTTCAACAGCACAAAATGGAAAGTGTGTCTCCTTCCCGCCCCTGCCCCCAGCCACCCACCTCCCGTCCCCGAGTCCTCCCTGAGATAGTCCGCATGCATCAAGCACATATGTCTACAACCTCCCCGGAGCCTGTTCATTTAAACACTGACCACAGCACTTTCAGCTCCCTGGAGCACGACTCCTAGCCTGAGGTCAAGGTGAACCTCAGGGGAGCCTGGCATCTGCTGAAACCGCACGCAGAATGCTGGCTAGGCACCTGGACCCTGTTTCTAGGAAGAAGGGACACATTAAAGCCACCTGGTCTAGTCTGGTTCTTCATGTTACAGAGGAAACTGATGCCAGGGAGGAGAAGGGCTGTGTCCAGGGTCCTCAGCATGGGGGTGGGGGGGTGGGGGCGGGTGGTTGGAAGACTTCCAGGCTCCCTGCACCTGCGCATCAAGAGCCCCAGGCCCTCTGCCTGGACAGGGTCTCAGAGGCCCAGGATGCAGCAGGAAGCGGCACCCACTTGTATCACAATGTGGCTTGTTTAAGAGACTGGGCTTGGGCTCCCCAGGCCTGGCTAGTGCTTCTGAGGTTCCCAGCCCTCCCTTTGAGACCCTCCATGCCTTGCAAGGACGCCCCCCCCCCCCAACCAGGTCAGTCTCTGGGGAGGAGGGGTGAATAGAGACAGGGTCTGGCCTAGGGTCAGCATGATCTGCCCTGGTTCCGGCCTGAGCGCCAGTCTTCACGGCCTCCTTACCCTCTGGGTATTGGGGACCCTGTGCGGGGAGAGGCAGCCAGTGACCAGAGCCAGGCCTCTGCCTCCACCAGGGGCCTCCCGGCTCAGAAAGGAGGTTCAGTGCAGGGCAGGTGCGAGAGGAGCCGCCCAAGGGTGGGCTGCCTTTTGGAAACAGAAAGACCCAGACCCAGACAGGGCAGAGGGGGTGGAGGCCCTCCCTCCACGGGGATGCCAGCACTGGGGTGGAAGGGTCCAGGCGGACACTTCGGAATGTGCTCTCAGAGCCCCACCGAGCGTATGCAGATGAGGCCTGTCTGTATGCAGATGAGACCGTCTGTATGCAGATGAGGAGAAAGGGCATTCTCTTCTCAGGGTTACCATAGAGCCCAGCCCACCCCCTTCCTCAGGGCCCCAGCTGCAGGGCAGCCTGGGAAGAGGCCGGGCTGGGGAGGGGCAACCTGCAGGAAGGTTAGAGCTCGGGAAGGACTTCCCCAAGGAAAATGGGCCGTGCTGGGAAAGGAGCCGGCGATGGAGCTGGGAATGCAGGGGGACTGTGGGGAGAGCCGGGCCAAAAAGATGTGGGGGAGCCATGACAGAAAGCTGCGAGCAGGGCAGGAAGGAAGAGAGCCTGGGCTCAGGAGCCACCCGACTGCGCCAGGCCCGCTGGGCCTCCTGGGGTCCTGGCGGTCATCCTGTGAGCCTTTCACAGACAGGGGGGCTCGACAGACTGACGGACACGTCCAGGACACACCGTTGCAAATGGCAGGGCCCTGGCCTGTCCAGCCCCGTGGCAGGCGGCCTGGCCACAACCCTCCTCCTTCTCCCCTGCAGGCAGACTCTGGGACAGCTCCCCCTGCCCTGGGGGAAGGAGAAGGGGCTGGGGGGGTCTGGGGGGTAGCTGAGGGCAGATACCAGGAAAGAGACAACAGGATTAGCCTACTGGGGGAAACTGAGGCCAGAGAGATTGGGAGGTGGCCATCCTCACTGAGCAGATCCAAGTCTGAGTGGGCCTGGACCCAGGGCACTTTCCTGGGGGTGCAGAGGCCCGGAGAGGGGGTGTCTTTGAGAATGGCCTCTCCTCTTCCTCCGGTGGCCCCCGGCCCCCCACATCCAGTGGGGTAGCCAAGGCCTTTGTGGGGAAGCGGCAGGGAAGAGAGGCCCCTTGTCGGCCGTTCATCTTGCTGGAGGCACCGGCTGGGCTCCTCTTCCTGGGGGTGCCAGCCGCCCCCACCGCCCCGCCCGCTGCCACTGCCCACTCCCCAGCTCTGTCGTTTCCTGGAGCCTCGGGGCTTTGGCCCTGGGCCCGGCTGAAGGATGGCGGGGTGCCCCGGGCCCGGCGCCTCCCGCACCTCCCCTTTCACACGCTGGCACCAGAGCCGTGGGAACGCCGGGCGGCAGCTGGGCACCGGTGCCCAGCGCTGCCCACCCCCAGCCCGGCCGACCTCAGAGAGGGGAGAGCCGCCCCAGAACAGCCCCTTCAGGATGGGGCCATGGAAATCCTTAGCACTAATTACAAATCTGGGGACAAACAAGGCATTTGCAAGTCAATTAGTGACAGAACTTTCCCAGGAAAGACCTTCATCCAGGCCGGGCTTCAGACAGGGCCACATGCTGGGTCATCTCGTCCCTCCTCCTGTCTCTGCCCTGCTCAGAGCGCAGGGAGAGAGGCTGCCCCTCTGCGGCTGAGGGTGCCAGGGCCTGAGCGGGCGGGAGGCTGGAGGTCACTCAGGGCTGCCGCAGGGAGGCATCCGTCAGGGTCCACCTGCCTGGACACGGCGACACGGGCGGGTTGACAGGGAAGTAGACGTCACTGTGAAGGGGGGCGCGGGGGGACCTTCCCTGAGCACAGGCACCAGGCGAGAGGAGGTCCCGGCAGGAGGCACACGGCCCAGGGGGTTCAGCCACATCTATGGGCACTTCAGGTGGGCCGACGGCCATCTGGGGCCACTTGTCTCAGCGAGGGAGGTAGGGCGTGACGTTGCTGCTCCCGGGCCTGGGAAAGGCGCTCTCCGCCTCCAGGACCCCTTAATTGGGGGAAGAGGGGGAGGGAAGGGGCTGGTGGGGCAAAAGCCCCGCTAGCCATCTGAGGGAGATTAAGGGATTACAATTAAAACGCGTCTGCAGATGAGCAGGTGGGTTGGGGCTGGGGCTAACGATCTAATTGCCCAATTGCCTTAGTGAGGGGCTTCAGCCTGTGGCTGGGCTCTAATGAGGGGGGTGGGCTTTTTGAGGAGCGGGAGGGCGGGAAGAGGCGGAGGGCTGGGGTCTGGAGGGGTGGGGCCTCACCTCCAACACCCCAGCTCGGGGGGGGGGGTCCCATTGCACAGGCTCCCCCCAGCTGCCCTCCCTGAGGACCCAAGAGAAAACAGCCTAACGGGGGCTTCAGGGCTGGAGAAGGGTTTTCGGGCCAGAAATGAGCAAAGAGGGTGCTGAGGTCCCAAGAGAGGGATTGTTAACACGGCCGATGGCCAGGGCGGACTCTGCATCAAGCACTGTACTAAACACTTCATAAACGTTTGTAATCCTGGCCACCACAGTAAAGCCTGTCTGCGCCCCCAGACACGGGGGGGGGTCCCCGCTGACCAGGGGCGGCTCCCTTCACACCCACCCTTTCCAGGAAGGGACAGATGGACAAACCCTCTCTGGACTCTGAAAAGCCCCCGGGGGGGGGGTCCTCTCCTACAAAAACCGCTCTAGAAACCTGGCCGCACAGTGGGCCTCACACAGCTAAGCCTTTGCACATCCTGTTCCGCTGCTGCAAGAGCCGCCCCTCGGCTCCTTTCCTGCCCCTCTGAGTCTTCCTCTCCCCGCTGCCCCAGGCCCCTCAGTTCGGGGTTGTCTGTGGCTGAGGAATGCCAAGAACACACTTAGGAATTACACACTTGGCCTGCAGAGGGGCAGCCGTTCACGTTTAGAAGCTAAAGGCCCTGATGGGGAGCAGCTCTGGGGGGATCCCCAAGCAACCGGACGTGAGCTGCCCTTGGGAGGGACCTTGAGGGGGGGACGCTGAGGCACCCGGGAGGGGGCTTCGTACCCTATGCCGGGCCTGCAAAGTATAGGGAAGAAGTTACTTATTCAGAAACAATTACATTTAATTTAAAATATTAATTATTGCATCTTTTTTTAGTTTATTTTTAAATTTTTTTGATGTTTTATTTATTTATTTCTGAGAGACAGAGACAGTGTGAGCAGGGGAGGGGCAGAGAGAGAGGGAGACACAGAATCTGAAACAGGCTCCAGGCTCTGAGCTGTCAGCACAGAGCCCGACACGGGGCTCAAACCCATGAACTGTGAGATCATGACCTGAGCTGAAGTCGGACGCTCAACCGACTGAGCCCCCCAGGCGCCCCAAAGTTTGTTTGTTTATTTTGAAAGAGAGAATACTAGCAGGGGAGGGGCAGAGAGAGAAGGAGAGACAGAATCCCAAGCAGGCTCCGTACCATCAGCTCAGAGCCTGACGTGAGGCTCAAACTCATGAATCTGGAGATCATGACCTGAGAGGAAATCAGGAGTCGGACTCTTAACCAACTGAGCCACCCGG